TACTAGTGTGATCATATGCTTATTTTACTAATTCATCTGAATTAGATATTTGTTAATATTTATACAACCCTAGTTTCTACTATAGCTCTCTACCAGTTTTTTGTTTGCTGATCTCTTCAAATATTTCATGAAATAGATCCTTCTAATCTAGTTAGCTGCTAAGCCAAATTGGTATTGCTAATTCTCCTTGTGAAATAGACTTACTTATATCTTATTTGATCTATATTTTTGGAGTAATAGTTTCTTTTCTGAATTAAGTGTTAGCTGGTATAACTACCAAAAGCTGTACTATTTTACTAACTTAGAATTTTTACTATACAGGTTCCCTGCTCATAGATTCTATTAAGATTTATTTATATAATATTATATCTCTTCAAATGCCTTATTATACTTCCAATATCTAAATAATATTAGTACAATATAATTTATAGGTTTACAACCTCAAAAATAAACAGGGTTTACCGTAAGTTAGATATAAAGGTCTAGATAATTATTCTAATTTATCAACAGTAAGATTTGAACTCTAGACTTCTTATATAGCAGTCTAACAATCTAATTACTATACTAAGATTACTAGACCTTATTGAAAGAATTTTATTAGTATTGCAAATAAGATTATATATTGATAATCTTTATTATTTGTAATTATTTTTTTTTTTAAATTTAGCAGTCATGCTACAACTTTATTTAGATTAGTTTTTCAAATGAAAACAGTATTATTTAGCTATATACTATCTAATATCTAATTTTTTAAGTCTTAACTTACTCAATTATCCCAAAGATACCTATGTACAATCTGCTATGGTAACCTTTGGCCTATGCTAATATAATATATAAAGTTTATAAATTATATATAGCTAATAAGAAGGATGCTATAGCTTATTATGACTAACTTAAAAACTAACTTGCTACTACTCTCTCTTTTACTTTTCTAGCTATACTATCTAATACTATTTTAAGACTAATATTATAGTTTTCTGTATTCTTATCTACTCTACAGTTTGCTTTTCTTGTTGTAGCTTCTTTTTTTAGTTACTTTTTCCTTTTTTCTTTCTATGTAAATTTTTCTTTCCTAGAGATATTTTCATTTTTCTCCTATACTTCTGTATCTTTATACTATTTTTTTTAGACTTCTTTATATACTAATTCTATTCAAATATATCAAAAAAGGCTCTAAAATCTTGTTGTTATTCTTTCAGAGCCTAGTTACTCGCATATTAGATTCTGTAATTGATTTGATTGGTTAGTGATCACATTTATTGTTTACATTTATTAACCAATCAAATCAAATGTCCACTATACTTGTTTCGTCAAGCAACTGACTCGCCGTTTTCCCCCGTAACAATATAGAAGGCATGCCCTGGACACGATATGAGAGGCATGCCTTTGGGCAAGGCATACCCGAAAGGGCATGCCCAAAAATTTTTCCGTGCCAACAACCCTACTTAGTAAAGTGCTGCAAAAAACACGTCGCTCTAAGTATTTCCACGTGCACTTTGACACGGTATACGGTCCATCGATTCCGTAACAATCCGTGCCACTCAAACCAGTGACTTTACCTGTTTTTCCGTGCCTCTTTCTTATAGGGGTGAGTAAGTTTTATTTTTGTTTTATATTTATAGGGACTTCGGAATCTTTCGGCCTTACTTTAAACATTTTGGGCGTTTGTAAGATGGATTCTTTATTCAAGTTTTCCTATTTTTAATCCAACCGTCTCATTCATTTATTGACCTTCTATCGCCTTCGAACTTCGCGCATTCATATGATTCTTATGATCATGCCCGCCACTTTACTTATCTCTTCCTTTTTCGGGTAAGTTTTATTTTATTTTATTTTTAGACCTCATTCATTTTCCTTGTTGATTTATTTTTAGGTTTCTTTCGTCCTTCTCACCACTTCAATTATATCCCGGGACTTCGCGGGCAAGTTCTCCTTGCTTTATCCTTTTTTAGATTGGTCTTATCGGATTTTTTATTTCGATTCTCTCAACCCGATTATTTGCTTATCAGTTTTCTTCTTGGCTCCCAAACGTCGTGGTTGTGGTGTTCTTACATTATTTGGTGCATGATTTGATCGACTATACATGCATGTGAGTTTTAACTAATTTCCGGGTGTATACGGTCGATCGATCTACTACGTATGTCACGTTTTTTGTGGGTTACGTTTTTTAGCCCGTGGCAATATAAAAATACGAATAATTGTGTAGCGCGTAGCGAACGTTTTTGAAATCGTCGTCATGTAATAAAATTTTTTCCCACCAACCTCCGTCGATTACTATACGCTGTATCGTTACGACATAAAAGACTCTAAAAATAATAATGATAAATTACTGTAGCAAAGGATCAGCGAGAAAAAAAAAGGTTAAAAATCAGGAATCGAAAAGAAAAAAAAAAGTAACGGTAAAAACAAAATAACACTGATTTCGTACAATAAACAAATAATGGAACTAACTATATATGGAAAAGGCTAAGTATATATCGATAAATCCAAAATAATGTGTAATTCTTGATGCGAAGCAGTTAAGATAGTAACACTAGGGTGTTCAACAACAAATAATAGTTAGGGTACTGTACATATGTTTGGATTTTTTAAAGGTTGATTTCACATACGAATTTGTATATGAATTCGCACTGATTTAAGTTAACCACCTACCAGACAAAATTGCATCGTATTTTTTTTTTAAACTATAGCTCTAGACTAGCTCTACACTGTAATAGAGCCGGTTTTGCAAAAAAAAATGTGCCTAAATCAGTGCGAATTCATATATAAATTCGCAACCTTTAAAAAATCAGAAAATATAGTACCCTAACTATTGTTTGATTTATTAGAGTGTTGAACACCCTATAGTAACACCGAAGCTTTTAAATTAAACAAGCTACGTAATAATCAGACAGCTATTTCCCGATAGGGAAATAACCTTGACAAAGCCAGCATAAGGGTTATATGGGTTAGTTCTGGCCGATTTTGTTTGTCGTGATATTCGTTGTCAGAAATTATAATACAAACCGCTTCTCGCTAGAGGCAATGCAAATTAATGCGCATCTTATCCCATCAAACGAATATACTATCTAATTCATCATCTGATATCGTACAATTTAATGCGTGATCATTGTCGTGTCATTTCCCGTAGACTTAGGCCAAATAACTTTTCTGTAGGTTGGATCAATATCATAATTTTGGTAATTTTCCCATTTGCATCTCTGGGTTTAGCATCGTCCATCATTTTTAGATCGTAATTATAACGATAGAAATACTAACGCTAACGCTATGGGGAAAGGCATAATAATGGTCATATACCGGTATTGAAATTGTTTTGCCCGACAAGTCTGACATCGCAAACATGACAATTTATTTACTAAAATATTTTAAATTATCACGCAAAGTGAAATGAACATTTGAAAGTTGTATATTACACAGAGTGGAACCAAGACTGTTTTCAGATCAAAAGGAAAAATTTTAAAAATAGAATGGTTAAACGAACGTAACCTTAAGTTAACATATATAGTAATAATTCATTCCTCCTTTATTTGTTTATATTTTGTTTGTAGTTATATTATTTACATTTTTTGTCTGTTTTCATTGTGGCTTTGAATTAACATACGATATGGACAATGAATACAATTTTCAAGTATCGTAAACTTTTGTCTCGAGATTATATACATTCAAAATTCATATAAATAAAACAGCAGTTCGCGTCCGAATAAAATTAAAAAGTTAAAAATTTTTTACCACTACTCTACTTTCACATTATGTTAAAAAGACTACCAAATCATACTAATTACCAAAAGATACTTGATTGTTTCACTGTTGCCGATGCTATTAAGAACACGGCTATAGAAGCCAAGAAAACTTTAAATGCTCAACCCAAAGTTAGTGTAATCTTACCGACAAATTCTGCAGGGAAAGCGAGAATAGATAGTGCTAATTACGTAGCTAAAAAGCGTAAAATTTTTGAACAACTTAATATTCCTATGCAATTAATTAAAATTTCACCACAATATAATGAAACACAAATTAAAGAGCTCATTAAAGAATTAGGTAATGATCATAACAATACTGGTATAATTTTACAATTACCATTTCCACTTGGTTTCTCAGTAAATCAAAATAATCTTTTAAATACAATTCCTACTCATAAAGACATTGATGGGTTAACTACGGGTTCAATGGGTAATTTATTTGATTTGGAAAAAGGCCTAAAACCTGCTACACCACTTGGTATTTGTAGTATTTTCGACTATTATAACATTTCAACAGAGGGTAAGCATATTGTAATTATGGGTAAAGGTCAGCTTGTAGGACGACCACTTGCTTGTATGTTAATGAATCATCCGTATAATGCTACCGTAACGATATGTGATATACACACGGAAAATATAAAAAATTTTACTAAAAAAGCAGATATTTTAATCGTTGCTATTGGTAAAGCGCTTCATGTTCCGATGATTTCGTTAAACCTGGTGCTATTGTAATTGATGCAGGTATTAATAGAATACCATCAAACTTTATTAATGGAAATTCAAAAATTGTAGGTGATGTAGATCATTCAACATATGAAATATGTAAACATTATACTCCAGTGCCATCAGGAGTTGGTTTGCTTACAGTTTCTTCATTGGCTTTTAATGCTGTTAATGCAAGCATTTTACAAAGTGGATTACCACCTTTGAATCTATCTCAGATAATAAGACAAAAATATTCTAATGAAAAGGTTGAAAAAATTAGTATAGCTAGTAGTAAAAAATATTCTGATAAAGCAATTGAAAAAAGTAAGAAAAAATTAAACTTTTTATTGCTTTCTTCTGCTTATAATGGTATGACACAGAGAATAAAAAATAAATTACTTCGCCTTGGACACGTGGCAACATTCAAATTGCCGATTCAGATGATGCAATGCGTTCTGCTTTTGCGCAGCACAAACCTGATTTAATTATTTGTCCAACGCTTATGAAAGCCATACCTGAGGATATCTATACTAAAGTAAAGTGTCTTATGGTTCATCCTGGAATTAAGGGTGATAGAGGTCCTTCTTCATTAGATTGGGCTATTATTAATAAAAAAGATGAGGCTGATAAGGAAATGGACGCAGGACCCATTTGGGCAAGTGAAAATTTTTTCGTTCCAAAAATTATTACTAAAACTCATTTGTATAATTCCCATGTTATTAATACTGCAGCGAGGCTGGTACTTGAATGCATTAAAAAGTTTCAGTTGAATGATTTTAAACCTGAGTTATTAAATTATTCTAATGCTTCAGTGAAAGGTAAACTTCATGAAACTATTAGACAATCACATTCTCTTAGACAAATAAATTGGGAAATGGATACTACAGAATTTATTTTAAGAAAAATACGTGCAGCTGATAGTCAGCCTGGAGTTAAAGCTGAGATTGATCTTAATGGTCAAAAAATTACAAGATTCTTGTATGATTGTCATAATGAAAAAACAAAGATTTGATAGCTTGTCCTGGAAAGATTCTCGCTAAACGAGATGATGCCATTTGTATTGCAACTAAAGATGGTGCACTTTGGGTCACTCAATTACGTTCTCTCAAGACTCAGGCCAAACCTTATCCATTTAAGTTACCTGCTACCATACAATTAGGTGAATTATCAGAAAACATCCCTACGATTAATCCCGAACAACAAATGCTTACTACACCAACTCTTGATACCTTTCAAGAGATAAGTTTTGAATCATTTGGTTCTTATGGTGTCTTACATTTTAATTTTTATAATGGGGCTATGAGTACATCACAATGTGAAAGACTTTTAAAGGCAATTAAACTTTGCCAAAAGATGCCTATTAAAGGGTTAATCCTTGCAGGTAGTGCAAATAATTGGTCGAATGGTATTAACCTGAACGTTATTCAAAATGCCGTTGATCCAAGCATAGAGGGATGGAAAAATATTAAAGCAATAAACGAAGTGGTTAAAGAAATAATTAACCTTACTAAAATTATAACGGTAGCAGCAATACAAGCTAATGCTGGTGCAGGAGGTGTTTATTTAGGACTTGCGACTGATTTTTCATTTGCTAAATCAGGGGTTGTTTTAAATCCCCATTATAAGAATATGGGTCTATATGGCTCAGAATTACATACTTATACGGCATCTAAACGCATAGACACGTTTATATTAAAACAACTTAAAGAAAATCCCAAACCAATACTTGCCGTTGAAGCAATTGAAATTGGTCTACTTGATAATTTAACACAGCAAGAGCTAAGTTTTTTGGATGACGTTAAGAGATTCATGAACACTATCATGGCTGATACTGCAAAAGTTGAGAAATTTATCGAAAACAAAGAAACAATTCGTATGAGTGATGAATCAGCAAAGTCGTTGGACGAATATGAAAAACATGAATTAGAAGAGATGTATAAAGACATGTTTAAAAATCGCAATAACTTTCATGAAAAGAGGTGGGCATTCGTTACCAAATCCCCTTTAACATTAACTAATAGACAAATAAATCCATAAATATCTTGTATCAGCATTAAGCATCTAAATATTGTACAATTTCATTCCTTATTTTTGTATAAATAAAATATAAAGTAAAAATCTAAATAATCTTCAGGTTTTTTAATGAATTAGGTAATATAGATGGCAAAATCATTCGTTCATTTGCCTAGAATTTAGAAATAGCACTTTAGTTGTTAGGTGAAATCTATGTGCTCTCCAAATCAAATATTTATTTGAAAGGGTATTGTAATTCAGTAATTGTGCACGATGTTTAGGCGATTTTAAGTGATTTCTGATTTTTTAAAACAACTCCGATATGACAATTTCATACCTAGATATCGGAGTTGTTTTAAGAAATCAGAAATCACTTAGAAATCGCCTAAAAATCATGCGATTTCTTTTTTTTTTCACAATAATCGTACAATTTTCTATAATTTTTAACGTTAATGCAAATATTGCCTGCATTTATTGGCCAATCAAATTATTCATTTCTATTTTACGCGCGCGCTGACGGTTTTGTTCAATAAGAATCTAAATATGTGAATAATCATAGCTAAGTATGTTACGCCAATATGCAATGTCTGTCTATATTGCAGTTTTGTTTTAAAAAATACCAGAATACATCTTAAATACCGAGTTTTAACGATATCGATATTGGTTTTTTTTATAATAACAAATATAAATTAACTATTGGTTTGCTCGTGGCTTTGCTACAAGAACTACTTTATATGTGAATAAAAACTTGTAAAAAATATTTTTATATATTCGATAAAATTTTATTTAATATAATTTATTTCTAGAAGCTTATTTGATTAAACCTGTAAGACTAAAATGGTTAAATATGCAAAACTTTATTTAACGTTAAAGATTTCATTTGGCATTATCGTTATCTATAATTTCTAAGTTTACACTTGTGCTACGTAATCTCTTTATTATATCATGTTGTTTATTTACAGCTACAAAAATTCATGTGACATTTATTAAAAATCTCAATACATTTTGCGGACATACAGGTTCATAATAGTGTTGAATAGCAGTTCGAATAACAGTTTGAATAGCATTTGAATTATGCTATTCAGTATGATGAAATTTTTAAAAATTACCAATATTACTATCTTTTATATCAAGTTTATTTTATTTATAAATATAATAGAGGAATATAGTTTAGAAAATAAATAGTTTATCTTTTTAACTGTAATTAATTACGATTACTCGTAATAACGATAAATTTAATGTGAAAGATAAATATAGAAAGTGAACAAATCAATTGTCATATAGATCCGTGAGAATTTATAAATTTATTGGCCAGCATGAATTTAATTCTCAAAATAAATTAGCCAAATTTAGCCAAATTAATTATTAGCTCATTTCAAAAAAATAACGCCATAAGCGTTATTTCATGCAAATACGGTGCAGGTTGTAGATCAACAAAGTTCCCTATTTTAATGTTAACAGCAGCCCTTTTTTATTATGAGTGCTGCAAAGCGAAAACCTGTAATTTGGGGTATTGCCGGCTCTGCTTTTCAGAAACAGTGATCAGATTCCTGATGGATCATAATAAATTCTATCCCTTCGTCTGTAGATTTTCACATGCTACTATGTTTTTCCAGGAAAATTTGCCTGGAATACAGTTTAAGGAATAATAAATGCTATTTAATGAATCATGTCCGTTTCTATTGAGAACGGGCGGTTTGGTCACCGGGACCAAATAGATCTTATAATTGATCAGCAACCGGACGACCATATCGAAAGAGGCGGTTAGATTTGGCAGGCGGATGTTCTAAAGCTTAGGTCATCTTTTCTACTACTAAGGGACAGGTCAATTATCACTTCGGGGAGGGGTACGGTAATCATGGATTAATCTATGGGCTTCGTGAAGATAATCCTACTATGCCACTTAGTATAATATCGGAGAGGGTAATTAAGGAAAGTGTGGGTTAGGTAGGAGAAGTTATTTATTTAGTGAGGGAGATATTGCAGTACGAAACTTATTATTCTAGTTGGGCCTTCACGGCCTTTATTTATAATGATATTTAATGTTCAATAAATCCAATAAATCTAATTTATTACATAAATGTCATAAAACTAATAAATGCAATAAATGTAATTTATGCAATTTATGTAATTTATGTAATCGTCATCCCCATGACCCGGGTCACGTTATACCATTCCGGACCCTATCTAACCATTCTTCGGGTCTCACACTATAAAATTGATTTCAGACACCCATATTTTATAGTTTAATCTTGTTTAACAAACTAAGAGGCTCGTAATTGTCAATATAAATCTTTTAACTAAAAACAACATTTTATAGTTGGTTTAAAATGCGTATTATCAAAATAATATATATTATTTGATATTTACTATTAGGACCAACAATCCTTTCGATCAATCCTAAAAAGAACTGGACCGGCCTGATCAAAGGATCGTTATTCCGGACCAGTTCGATTAACAGCCCTAATTTAGTAAATACTTTGTATAATTAATAACGATAATATCTAATATTGGGACCGATAGTCCTTACGATCCATCCTAAGAAGGACTGGACTGACCCGATCCTTGGATGGACCATCTGGACCGGATTGATTAACAGCCCTAACATAGATGCACTCTTATACGTATTGTACGCGAAAAAAATTCGAGTATCATATAAATGGCACATCACTAGTCTGGACTAAGGACCCAGTAGTTGAGACTTAGATTTAGGGAGTTTTTAAACTATGCTTTAAATTTGTTTATATACATTTACTATAAATTATGATTTCCAAGTATGTTAGTTTGAAACTCGTGCTTACTGTATTAAAATTTGATTTTTTTTTTTTAAAAAAAAAAAAAAAATATTTAAAAGTTTAATTGAAGCTTTTTGCTCTTAAGATGGATTTCAAACTCAATCAAGCACGATGTGGTTAATCTTTACATAATTAAATTAACATGATCAAAAAACTCGAGTTAAACTTGTTCAAATTTCGAACAGGGACGAACTGAGTTTGGATAAACAGAATAACTATTTCAGAAATTGTGTAGTAACCTAATGGTCGTTCGTGATGTTGACCTTAAGACCTTTTCTTTCTTCTATAGATCAGTAAAATTGTCATGTGTAAAAAAAAACTTTAATGAGAAGAAAGTTTTTAAAAACAATATCAGTGAAAAAATCACAGGACGTTAGGCTCCAAGGAATATATAAGGTATTTGTCGTGTTCATTTTTGGAATTATTAATATTAATGTATGGGGACTTTGCAGTAGAATGGGCGGAAACTACCCCAAAAGTGAAAAATGAGTTTTTTATTAGATTCAGATAAATTTCGACATGATTGACATTTTCAATTATAAATGAAAGTCGATTTGCATAATGGAAATCGAGATAATGTAAAAGAAAAATTATACAAGGCTGCCTAAGGCCAAGCACGTCACTCAATTATCTCAAAATGTGATATATTTTAGTATCCGCCCTTTCTACTGCAAAGGCCCATATATCCTTTACAGTAAATAACTTTTGACTCACCAGACCGTTTTGGATGGCTTTGCTACCAAAATGGCCGCCTCGATGAGACGATTCCAACAAGCTCAAAATCGATAACATATCAATCGAGGCGTCATTTTGATAAAAAAAATAAAAATTGGATAGCAATAGAAATGTAACTATTCTTTATTTGGGTTTGATTTTACATTCCTAATCTGGACATTGTGAACTTATTCGAGGATTGTGAATAAAAATTTCCTATAAGTAATACAGCTATTCGTGTCCGAATAAAATTAAAAAGTTAAAAATTTTTTACCACTACTCTACTTTCACATTATGTTAAAAAGACTACCAAATCATACTAATTACCAAAAGATACTTGATTGTTTCACTGTTGCCGATGCTATTAAGAACACGGCTATAGAAGCCAAGAAAACTTTAAATGCTCAACCCAAAGTTAGTGTAATCTTACCGACAAATTCTGCAGGGAAAGCGAGAATAGATAGTGCTAATTACGTAGCTAAAAAGCGTAAAATTTTTGAACAACTTAATATTCCTATGCAATTAATTAAAATTTCACCACAATATAATGAAACACAAATTAAAGAGCTCATTAAAGAATTAGGTAATGATCATAACAATACTGGTATAATTTTACAATTACCATTTCCACTTGGTTTCTCAGTAAATCAAAATAATCTTTTAAATACAATTCCTACTCATAAAGACATTGATGGGTTAACTACGGGTTCAATGGGTAATTTATTTGATTTGGAAAAAGGCCTAAAACCTGCTACACCACTTGGTATTTGTAGTATTTTCGACTATTATAACATTTCAACAGAGGGTAAGCATATTGTAATTATGGGTAAAGGTCAGCTTGTAGGACGACCACTTGCTTGTATGTTAATGAATCATCCGTATAATGCTACCGTAACGATATGTGATATACACACGGAAAATATAAAAAATTTTACTAAAAAAGCAGATATTTTAATCGTTGCTATTGGTAAAGCGCTTCATGTTCCGATGATTTCGTTAAACCTGGTGCTATTGTAATTGATGCAGGTATTAATAGAATACCATCAAACTTTATTAATGGAAATTCAAAAATTGTAGGTGATGTAGATCATTCAACATATGAAATATGTAAACATTATACTCCAGTGCCATCAGGAGTTGGTTTGCTTACAGTTTCTTCATTGGCTTTTAATGCTGTTAATGCAAGCATTTTACAAAGTGGATTACCACCTTTGAATCTATCTCAGATAATAAGACAAAAATATTCTAATGAAAAGGTTGAAAAAATTAGTATAGCTAGTAGTAAAAAATATTCTGATAAAGCAATTGAAAAAAGTAAGAAAAAATTAAACTTTTTATTGCTTTCTTCTGCTTATAATGGTATGACACAGAGAATAAAAAATAAATTACTTCGCCTTGGACACGTGGCAACATTCAAATTGCCGATTCAGATGATGCAATGCGTTCTGCTTTTGCGCAGCACAAACCTGATTTAATTATTTGTCCAACGCTTATGAAAGCCATACCTGAGGATATCTATACTAAAGTAAAGTGTCTTATGGTTCATCCTGGAATTAAGGGTGATAGAGGTCCTTCTTCATTAGATTGGGCTATTATTAATAAAAAAGATGAGGCTGATAAGGAAATGGACGCAGGACCCATTTGGGCAAGTGAAAATTTTTTCGTTCCAAAAATTATTACTAAAACTCATTTGTATAATTCCCATGTTATTAATACTGCAGCGAGGCTGGTACTTGAATGCATTAAAAAGTTTCAGTTGAATGATTTTAAACCTGAGTTATTAAATTATTCTAATGCTTCAGTGAAAGGTAAACTTCATGAAACTATTAGACAATCACATTCTCTTAGACAAATAAATTGGGAAATGGATACTACAGAATTTATTTTAAGAAAAATACGTGCAGCTGATAGTCAGCCTGGAGTTAAAGCTGAGATTGATCTTAATGGTCAAAAAATTACAAGATTCTTGTATGATTGTCATAATGAAAAAACAAAGATTTGATAGCTTGTCCTGGAAAGATTCTCGCTAAACGAGATGATGCCATTTGTATTGCAACTAAAGATGGTGCACTTTGGGTCACTCAATTACGTTCTCTCAAGACTCAGGCCAAACCTTATCCATTTAAGTTACCTGCTACCATACAGGCCTCGCCCTAACCCTAAAGTATATGAAATTGATTTTTTTTTTGGTTTATCGTTTTTTGATTTAAATGTTATACACAAAATTCTGATGACCACCAGTGGCGATAAATAGTAATTTTTTTAATTTTTTTCTTCACAAATTTTTATTTTGAATATTGATAACTATAACCGTCACTGGTATGTAATTAGCCAATAAATTTGCAAAATCAGGTGTAACGTGCAAATTGATTTTTTTTTAAAAAAATGCTAAAATCTCAAGAATTCGCCTATGAAACCACCTTCGACGTTCTAACAAAAAAAATTTCTTGCTAAAATTTGCATATATATAACATTTTGTTAAAATCCTAGGCCTCGCCCTAACCCTAAAGTAAATGAAATGAAATTTTTTTATTGTTTTATCGTTATTGGCTAATTATACAGCGGTGATGATCACCGCTGGTTATTTAAAGTTAAATTCTTATTTATTTATTTATTTAGGATTATATAATTTAAAAGATACATCATGTAGTCACGTGACGTTATGACAAGCTGTCACAATCTATAATAAAATTTAATCGTGTGTATACTTATATAAGACACATGATAAAAAAATTTTGCCACGTTATATTTTTTTCTGTTAATATATTACAATGAAAGATCAGAATAACACACACACGTAAAGAAAACAAAATTTCTTCAAAAAAATGGCATGTCCCCTGTCCACTTGCAAGTCTCGTCCAGAACATAATAGTTAACTATTTTTTCTGTGATATATACCGCCTTCTCGTGACTTCATCACTCGAAGCCAGACATTTACAGTTAACAATATATATCTTTTTTCGAACTTGTGAAAAAAAAAGGGGTTTGTGACGAATGTAATCACCATTCACACAAAACATGCAAAAAGTAGCAGATGGAATATGTGAATGTGATAATTTTCTAAAGGAGTCACAGATAATAAATCAGAATTAGCGATTTAGCAGTACTGTAATAATAGTTTAACAAAATTTATCATGATATATATAACAAAGATATATCTGAACCACAAGGCTTATAACTTATTTGTGAGCCATTTTTCAGAAATAAGTACTCTAACCAAAGTCGGTCAATTAGCTCATGCCACTAGAGATGGGCAAATTTATTTGTATTCTTATTTAATATTACTTAACATTATCTAATTTTTTGAACATTAAGTAATAATAAGTCATTCTACGATAATTCTATTTTCAACGACAAAAATTTACATGTTTATTTAATCTCAGCTTTAATTAATCATTTCTTACCGTTATCGTCATGTGATAGTAACAAATAAGAATTTGCTTAATATTATTTAAACGATAAAAAATACGTATTGATTACTTAATAAATTACTTTGCTCATCCCTAAATGCCACTTATATTTCTGACTCAATTCAAAATTTTATAAACTTTTTAATGGTATCAGCGGGAATAATAACAGCATAGAGCAATTAATAATACAACAATTAAGTATTTCTACATCGGCAATTTTAAAACTAAGGATGACATTGAATATATAGTAGTTGCAGTTATAAGTGATACTGCGCTATCATTATGTGACACTGTGAACTCGGGTTACATTCTTTGTAATAAATTTCATAATACTGTAATAATAAATCAATCCATATCGGAAAAAATAAAAAAATGTTTATTTATATGTCCACTTTTAACAGAATTTTATCGCAGTGTAGTCGCGGTTAGATTTTTCTTATATAAACCATATCGCGGTACTTGTTAAAATGACATAAATGATTGGCCGGAGCGTAGCGGAGGACCCTAAGTGTCGTCAAGTGATACAAAAATTACGTTTTTGATGCATTTCGATCACAAGAAATTACTTTTTTGATGTACCTACATAGAAATTATGTTTGTTATATCAGAAATGTAATTTGGAAATTTTTTGTCCGTCCCACGCGTGTTCAAATTTGTAATTTATTGTAACAAAAAAATATATACACTGAAAAGGTCTAAACTGGTCCTAGATCGAAACTCGTCCGGAGATTATGTCACACAAGGAGTCGGGTTTATGGATAATCACCACAAATCCAGCAATTAACCCTAAGTGGAAGGCGTCGAATGAGGCGTGGAAAGACTTGGTCCGAATCTAGGGTTGCTTGAGGATTTCTTGGATTCTTAGTGGTAAGTGTTCTCTTGTTCTTGACCTTTACTTCTAATTGTTTCCGTTCTTAACACTTTATACAGTTCTTTCGCTGTTGGTTTTTCTGGGTCACGTGGCATGTGATTTAGTTTTCTTTATGATTGGAGTTTATTATTATTGAACAATATAGGGGTAATTGTTTTACTAATTCGGCAGTCCTTCTCTTAATTTGTAGTATGAAACTTTACTATTACGGGACAAGACTTGGGCGTGGTTTCATAGGCGAATTCTTGAGAAATTAGCATGTTTTTTTGCAAATTTATTGGCTAATTACACACCGGTGATTATCACCACCGGTTATAGTTATAAATATTCAAATAAATAATGTCGGGGATGATCGTGAAATCTAAAAACCCCATTGGCTAATCACCCTAACCCTAACCAATCAGATGCGTTAATTTCATGATCATCCAAATTTCAGCACAAATAATATTAAAAAAAAAAATAAGAAACTCGTGACTTGGACCGGGACACCAATTCACATTCCAACAATAGATAGGGTTGTATTACGAAAATTACAATTGTAATTTTACATAAGTTTCAGTAAATCGATATAAAGTACCGGGATTACATACATTAGATTTATTTAAGACATCCGTTACAATATCGTTAAATTTAAATATAAAGCGGGTAACGAAATGAAGATTTTGCAAACATATTAATTTTGTTTTGTGATTATTTTTACTTCGTGATTCTAATTCACTCTGATCATGATCACTATTATCTGATATTGATTGTTTTCGTTTCTTATTAACATTTGAAGCTTCATTTACGCAAAGAACATATATCCAAATGCTTCTGTAATCTTTTGCTGCTTCCTTACCGCATGCTTTGCATTTGTAACGTCCTTTTCCACTTTCAACTTTCTTTTTTTAACCATTTTTAGTCCAGTAGTATGTTATAAAATTTAGATTCGATTTTATTTTATTTTATATTTAAAAACTATGCTTTATATGACAAAAATAATTAAGCGAACGAATAATTACGTATTCGACATAATGTGATCAAAATTAAGGACGACAAATTTATAAAATTATGCCATTTATATAAACTTGAATTCGTAAGTGCAGTATAGGTTAATATAAATACAGTATCAAATAATGACTAATAAAAACTTCATCTTTGACTGCGTCCTCGTGGTGTGAAATATGTTGATCTAATGAATTTGATCTTTTTATGTTTTGGTTCCAGTTGTTACTCATCAACATAATAAAAAATTTCTTTATATGGATTTATCTGTATCGTAAAATCACAGTAACCTTCTGCATTATACGTTCCTATAATTGGCAAGAATAACATGAGATTTATATCTCCATTTAAAAAAACAATTATATAGTTTTTTCTTTTACCTTGAAGAAGTATAATACTTCTAATTTCGTAGCGTAGAACCTTTATATTGAATAATTGTGAAGGAAACTTGAAGGTGGGTCCATCCAGACCAAAATACAGACCATCATCAAGCAGATCCACAGCAAGAAGTTTGCTATGTAATCCTAATGCAGTAATAAATATTAAGCGTTAATAAATACAACCAATAAAATTCATTAATACAAAATAGTACAAACACATCTTACCAGCACATTGAAATGAAAACACTGCCGAATCTTTGAACTGCTTCGTCAAAGGTTAGAAAATTTTCGTTGACGATAATTTCATGTTCTTCATCATCAGACGACTCCAGCTCTTTTTTTTCATCACCTTCACCTTCATCACTATCTTCTTCAGTTACGATAGTCCCCAGCAATCTTGAATTAAAATCTTCATGTTTCCGTTTGGCGGTCCTTATTCTCTTTATGCGTTGTAGATCTAATGTCTTTGTCCTGAGTAGATGTAGCTTCAACAAATAGCTACAATGCAATTAAGAAATATTAAACATCTTTAATATCGAGTCAGGCGTGATCATTCGAATAAGTTATCTTTGACCTTAAACAATTGGAGGTTTATCCTGTGTGTTGGTGTATATTGTAGTCTGTTAGACGTATAACTTAAAGCCTGTTTTTTTTGCACAGCAGACGAGGCCTCTTTAAGATGGCAGAGACCTATATTTTCGAACTCCATTATCCCTTCTTTCTGAAAATAAACATAATGTTTAGAAATAATATTGGCTCGAAATAATTCTTATAAAGTCAACCTACCCATTGCAATCATCTATTATCTCAGATTCCAGAATAATATCTTGTTTATGCCAAAAGAGTTTTATCGGCTTCGACTTTTTATCGTTCTTATTATGGAAAATTAGATTATAGAATTAATTAACAGAATATAGAATTAATCAAACACAACATGTAAAGTAGTACTGCATGCTCAAGCCACAGAACAAGTAAGCAACTTTTGCCTTGCAAGTAAGCAACTCACAAGGTGTCTGTGCGAATAAGCAATCCGAAGACCACAACGGACGAGTAAGCAACTCTTGCCTTACAAGTAAGCAACTCATAAGGTGTCCGTGTGAGTAAGCAACCCACAAAATAGTCTGTTGAAACATATAGCCTTTCTCTGAAACAGCCCAAATAAATAAAATAAGTATTCTCGCCTTAAAATCTTCTTTCCATTCTAAAGCTCTTCCTGATTTCAGTGGTTTCATCACAGTATGTAATAATATTATTTAGTTCAAGATTATATCGCCTGTGTTCTACTTCTGAATCTTCCAAATCACCTATTTGAAGTCGGAATTCTAAAAAGTTTTTGAGCGAAGGATTCTTCGTGTTCTGCCAAAAGGCTATATATATTTACAAACAAGTTAAATTATAAAGATTGTTGTAAGAAATCGCCGTCACAAGTTATCTTACCAGGGTATTTCATAGTGTTAACACATTCAGGTGGTAGATACATTTGCGAAAATAACTAAAAACGGATGTAAAAGGTTACTAACCTGCTAACCTGAATTTTTGGGTCTATATATTAATACGAGTTTTATTGGTTGATTACGCGACAGGTATACTTGTTATCCGAAACGAAACCTACCCGAAACTAGTTTCGGATTTTAGAAAAAATTTCCGAAACTACGAAACCCGAAATCCCGAAACTTATAATCCAAAACCTAAAGCTATAAAACCTATAATCCGAAACTATAAAATATATAAATTTAAATATTTACAGCTGTTCTCATAAATTCTGGGACAACTGATAAAATTTTGATCGCCGAATTCGATAAGTTACTGATTTCGGT